CCCAGAACTCCCCTCCCCCCTGCCCTCTGGTCCCTCCAGGGGACTGACTCCCCGCCCCTACCCCAGTCCCTCTCACGCCCTATTGCCCCTCCCTGCCCATAGAGCTGGGGGTTGGGGTGGGTGGACTCATTTGGCTATGAAACCGTTACATATGAAAAAACCGTGGCTCAGAGAGTGTGAGGGAGGATACAGGCACAGAGCCTAGCAGTCCTCATCAAGGGCCTGGACGGGGTGCAGGCAGGTGTGAGAACCCCTGAATTCCCAGAAGCACCCCAGCTGTTTTAAAGTGGTCAGCACTTCTGAAGCTCTGCAAGGTGCTGGGCAGGTGGGGGAACTTTGCCCAGGACTCCTGGGCTTCCTGACCAGGTGGAACTATGTGTGGTCTGGGTTTGATGCACGTGACGTATCTCTCAGTGTCAGCCTTTCATGTATGTCCTGAGGGGCCAAGGCTGTCCCTTGCCCATCCCCTAACCAGTCAGTGGCCCTGTCCTCCTGGAAGAAGCCTCCTTCTCTCATCTCCACGTCTGGTCTCTACTGGTCACTGGTCCTTCCTGAACATCACGGGAATCCAAACTCTCCTGCCACCTACACGGTCAATGTCCGAGTATAGCCACCACCCTTTGGTACCTGCCTTCGTGCCTGGCCTCCTACAGCCAGGACCAGCAGCCTGTCCAAGGGCCACGTGACCACGGCACACCACGTGGGCTCCCCCATCACCTGCTCCTTGCCACAGTTCCCTAAAGTGCTTCTGCGACCTGGAATGTTTTGTCAATTTCTTTTTCTTTTTTTGAGACAGAGTCTTGCTTTGTTGCCCAGGCTAGAGTGAGTGCTGTGGCATCAGCCTAGCTCACAGCAACCTCACACTCCTGGGCTCAAGCAATCCTCCTGCCTCAGACTCCCAAGTAGCTGGGACTTACAGGCATGCGCCACCATGCCCGGCTAATTTTTTCTCTATATATTAGTTGGCCAATTAATTTCTTTCTATTTATAATAGAGATAGAGGCTGGGCGAGGTGGCTCACGCCTGTAATCCTAGCTCTCTGGGAGGCCAGGGCGGGCGGATTGCTCAAGGTCAGGAGTTCAAAACCAGCCTGAGCAAGAGCGAGAGCCGTCTCTACTATAAATAGAAAGAAATTAATTGGCCAACTGATATATATATAAAAAAAATTAGCCGGGCATGGTGGCACATGCCTGTAGTCCCAGCTACTCGGGAGGCTGAGGCAGAAGGATCACTCAAGCCCAGGAGTTTGAGGTTGCTGTGAGCTAGGCTGACGCCACGGCACTCACTCTAGCCTGGACAACAAAGTGAGACTCTGTCTCAAAAAAAAAAAAAAAAAAAATTTATTTTATTTTTTTAGTTTTTGGAGACAGAGTCTCACTCTGTTACCCAGGCTAGAGTGGCGTGGCACTAGCTCACAGCAACCACAAACTCCTGGCCTCAAGCAATCCTCCTGCCTTGGCCTCCCAGAGTGCTAGGATTACAGGGGAGAGCCACCATGCCCCGGCACTCAATTTCTTTTTAAATGTGGAAACAATGACACACTTAAAGCTACAAGTACAATGCAAAGTAATTTTTTCTTGAACGAATTTGAAAGTAAGTTGCTAGCCTGATGCCCCATCATCCCCTCTGTTTCCTTCAAACGGTCATTCTGCTATATAAATGGCCACAAAATGACAGCCCCAAATCAGGACATTAACACTTTGCTATGCAGTGACACGTCACTGCCGTCTAATCCTCAGACTGCATCTGAGTCTCTAAGTTCCCCCAGATGTCCCAAAAATGTCCTTGTAGCAGAAGGATCCAGCCCAAGTGTTGTGTCTAGTTGTGGCATCTCTTTCATCTCCTTTGGTCCGGAAGACTTCTCTGTCTGTGTTTGGCTCTCACAACTTGGACTTTTTTGAAAATTATAAACCAGTGACCAGGAACTGAATATTCCTCAGTCTGGGTTTGTCTGATGTCTTTTCATGATTGCCCTCAGGTTTGCCTTTTTGGCAGGAATATCACAGAGGTGACAGCTGTGCTCTTCTCACTGCGCTCTATCAGGTGTCAAATGATTGGTTTATCCCATTCCTGATGATGTCCATGCTGATTGCTTGATTCAGAGGGTGTCTGCCAGCTTTCCCCATTTTATTTTATTTTTTTAGTTTTTGGAGACAGAGTCTCACTTTGTTACCCAGGCTAGAGTGCCCTGGCATTAGCCTAGCTCACAGCAACCTCAGACTCCTGGGCTCAAGCGATCCTCTGCCTCAGCCTCCTGAGTAGCTGGGACTGCATGCATGCACCACCATGCCTGGCTAATATTTTCTATGTATTTTTAGTTGTCCAGATAATTTCTTTCTATTTTTAGTAGAGATGGGGTCTCACTCTTGCTCAGGCTGGTCTTGAACTCCTGAGCTCAAATCATCTACCTGCCTCGGCCTCCCAGAGTGCTAGGATTATAGGCATGAGCCACCACCATGCCTGGCCTGGACTTCAATTTTTTTTTTTTTTTTTGAGACAGAGTCTCACTCTGTTGCCCAGGCTACAGTGAGTGCCCTGGCGTCAGCCTCGCTCACAGCAACCTCAAACTCCTGGGCTCACGCGATCCTACTGCCTCAGCCTCCCGAGTAGCTGGGACTACAGGCATGCACCACTATGCCCAGCTGATTTTTTTCTATATATATTAGTTGGCCAATTGACTTCTTTCTATTTATAGTAGAGATGGGGTCTTGCTCTTGTCAGGCTGGTTTGGAACTCCTGACCTTGAGCAATCCACTCTCCTCGGCCTCCCAGAGTGCTAGGATTATAGGCAATAGCCACCGCACTCAGCCCCTATTTTTAATAATTTTTTTAGAGACCAGGTCTCGCTCTGTCGCCCAGGCAAGAGTGCAGTGACCCCATCATAGCTCATCTTGGCCTCTAACTCCTGGGCTGAAGTGATCCTCTCACCTCAACCTCCAGAGTAGCTGGAAAATTAACCATTTTTTAGTGCACTTACAATGTTCTGCAAGCACCACCTTTGTTTGTTCCCCAGACATTTCCATCACCCCAGAAGGGAAACCTACAAATAGTCACTCCCCATTCCCCCCCCAACCCTCTGCCAACCCGGGAACCAACCAGCCTTGTGTCCCTAGGGATTTATCTCCTGTCTAGCCATTTCCTATCAGTGGAATCACACAGCATGTGGCCTTTGTGTCTGGCTTCCTCCACCTAGCAAGATGTTCTCAAGGTTCATCATCATTGTGTCATGTATCCGGGCTTCATCCCCTTTGAAGGCTGAATAATATTCCATTGTGTGGTTAGGCCACAATTTGTTTATCCATTTCCCCCCATTGATGGACATTTGGGTTGTGTCTACTTTTTGGCTGTTGTGGCCAGTGCTGCTGCGACCATTCATGTACAGGTTTTTGTTTGAACACCTGCTCTGAATTCTTTTGGATACACACCTAGGAGTAGAATGGCTGAGCCATAATGGTAATTCTCTGGTTAACCTATTGAGGAACCACCAAACTTTCCACAGCGTCTGTCTGCACCATTCTGGATGCCCCCCAGCAGTGTGCAAGGGTTCCCATTTCTCCATATTCTCACCAACGCTTGTTATTTTCTTTTTTATTTACTCATTTTTTATCACGGCCATCCTAGTGGGTGTGAAGTAGCATCGCCCTGAGGTTTTCATTTGCATTTCCCTGATGACTAGCCATGTCGAATGTCTTTTCCTGGGCTTGGTGGCTATCTGTAGGTCCCCTTTGGAGAATCCTAAATCCCTTCCACATGTTGCTATGTTCTTCCACAGCAGAACAAGTCCCAGCCCTGGAACCAGTTATTTCTGATTTGTGTTGTGGAGCATGGAGGGGGGTAGCTAGAGATGCAGTGGGGGCTGCTGCTCCTTCGCCCTCTCGGGACAGAGCTGGGAAAGTGTATTATGCACATCTGTGTCAGTCCCTGTGTCCGATTATGTGTATTGAAAGCCCTGGGTTTACACCGATAGATCCTGGGGCTCACTGCAGTTTATAGCTCCTGCCCTGCCCGTGGGAACCTGGCTCTGTGATCATGATGCACCTGTTTGTTTCCCCACCCCCTGGGGGTACCCAGTGTCCATGGCCACCGCCGCCCTTTGTGCAGACACCCTCCTCTGCTCTGGCCACACGGCCTCTCTGCAGGGGTGCCTCCCCCTGGTGTGGGCTTGGACACTCTTCACCAGGTCCCCTTCCCCACCCCCACCCCAGCTGAGTTCCCCCCACCCACTGTCAGGTTGGCCTCTCCCCTTCAGACCCCCCTCAGTGCTCACCCTGCCCCCCATGCAGAGGCCTCCTAGCTCCCCACACCCCCCTGGGGACATCCTCTTGCTCTGCCCCAGCTAAGGGCTTCAGGACTAGATTGTTCCGGAAGGGAAGGGAAAGGGGAAGGGACAAAGGGAAGAGGAAGAAGAAAGAGGGTTCTCTGTTTCTTGCTTTATCTTTAAAAATTCATGGCCAGTGTGCACTTTAGTCTAGAACATACTTCTTTTCATTTTAACAGGACACAGCGTTTTCCCCACCCATGTTCAGGTGACATTGCTGCCCTGGCTATCCAGGGACTGTGTCTGCCCAGAGAGGGGGCCTGGGCCGGCTCCCAGCAGGCCGGACAGCAGTGGGGGTGGGGAGTGGGGGTGGGGGGTGGGGGTGGGGCTGGCTTCCTTCCCCAGACAATGGGCCGCGTCTGCAGCGGGAGATAAGGGCTGGGGCTGGGCGGAATCACAGCGCGTGGCTGCAGCCGCAGCGGAGGGCCCTTCCCTGCAGGCCCGACCTGCCTCAGCAGCCTGTGGATCCTCCCATCGCCCCGCTCTGCTTGCCAGAGAGAGGCTCCCCTAGGTCCGGGGAGACCCCGCCTGGTGCCCACACCTCCCCTGGCTCCAGGTCACAATCACACAGAGATTGATTTCCTTTTAGTTTTCTTTCTTCCTTTCTAAACATATTTTAAATTTAAATTTTATTATTTATTTATTTTTAGAGACAGAGTCTCGCTCTGCCGCCCAGGCTGGAGGGCAGTGGTGCAATCACAGCTCACTGGGATCTCTTCCTTTTTTTAAAATTGAGGCTTAACGAACTCGACGTGCACAAACCTTCAGTACATCTCTGCACATGTCTGCGGGTGTCCAGGTCTGTCCCGGCCCAGGAGGGCAGCGCAGGCCCCTGTCGCCCAGGAGTGTGGTCCCCCCCACGTGGAGATGGTTCCAGTGGCTCAGTGTGGACAGAGAAAAGGGCCTAAAACCTCTCATTAATAATTTTCATGTTGATTCTAGAATGGAAGGGCTTAAAAAAAAAGAAAAAATAATAATTTTCACATTAATTATAGGTTGAAATCATCATATGGGACATGAGTTAAATAAAATACATTATGAAATGTGATATCACTTGTTTTTGTTTTTACTTTTTTTAATGTGGCTGCTGGAACTGTGAAAGTTCCATCTGTGGCTGCGGAGAACATTTCCAGCCCAGGGAAGTCCCCTCGAGCCCTGACCAGGGAAGTCCCCTCAACCCCCACCCAGAGGTCACTGGGTTGCTATCAGCTTAGACTAGTTTTGATTGTTCTTGAATGTCAGGCAAATACAGTCACAGCCAAGTGCTCTTTCCTGTCTGTGAGATTCGTCCTTGGTGTTCCTGTCAAGGCTCACTCACCAAGAACTGAACCAGCACTGCCTGGGTGCCAGGCCCTGGATGGGGCTTGGGGACACAGTGGCCACCACAATAGCCCAGTCCTCACCTTGGAAGGCTGGCATGGTGGGAATGATGCCAGGGATCTGAGGGGCAGCAGAGGGGGAGGCCACTTGAGTGGGTCTGGGGGTACTCCTATGAGCAAGGCCCCAAGCTGAACTGTAGTGACTTGAACGATGAGCCCCCAATTTCATGTAACCTCAGAATGTGATCTTATTTGGAAATGGGATCATTTCGGATGTAATTAATTAAGACCGTTGATATGAGATCCTGGATTGAGCGTGGGCCCTAGATCCAGTGACTGGATTGGGTTTGTAAGAGTGTAGAAGCCAAAGTAAAAATATAGAGATGAGGCCAGGTGCGGTGGCTCATGTCTATAATCCTAGCACTCTGAGAGGCTGAGGCAGGAGGATTGCTGATGTCAGGAGGTTGAGGTTGCTGTGAGCTAGGCTGATGCCACAGCACTCTACTACTCTAACTGGAGCAACAGAGCAGGACTCTGTCTCGAAAAAGAAAAAAAAAAATAGAGATGAGCTTGAGCAGGAGTGAGACCCCATCTTTACAAAAAATAGAAAAATTAGCCAGGCAAGGTGGCACACCTGTAGTTCCAGCTACTTGGGAAGCTGAGGCAGGAGGATCACTTGAGCCCAGGAGTTTAAGGCTGCAGTGAGCTATGATAATGTCACTGCCTTCATGCCTGAGCAACAAAGCGAGACCCTGTCTCCAAAAAAAAAAAAAAGAAAATGTAGAGATATACCATTTTATTTGGGAAGACAGAATTGCAATTCGGGGCATACACTCAGACTGGTGGTCTTTGGTATATCTGAAGAACAAAGGCAAGGTTGACAGTTTTATTAAAAAGAGCAATGTTCTGGATGGCCCTGAGAGAAAGTTCATTGGTATAAGTAAAGCTCTGGGGAGCTGGCTAGGTCCGATGGATGGGTGGGCCAGGGCGGAGGGCATAATTAGTCCTAGAGTTGCAGCAAGTTATCTCAGCAGCTGTAGATAAAGCCAGGCTCAGGTTACAGCAGGCGGTTTCAGCTGTCGGGTGGCAGAGAATAACATTTCTAGAGCAATGCTTCTCCCCTGGCCCCTTGACTCTGATTTAGCTGGGTATGGCAAGAATGATCCAATCGGATGATCAACTTTCACAATTTCCCCCTTTTGATTAAGATCTTTCTGTGAAAGCCTTGCTGATCAGCCCTTTTGCAGTTGAGCTTAATTGTCCCTGGTGCCAGGATGCACCTGTCCCAGTTGTGTCAGTCTCATGTCAGGGGGAAGATGTGGAGGGGGGCGCTAAGCCAGGGACCTGGGCGAGTGACACTTGAGTAACACAGAAGCCAGAAGGAAAAATGTCCTCAGGGCAGGTCTACTTGAAGATCAGCACCAAGCTCCATCTTATTAGCTCTGGGACCAGCAGTCACTCAAAGTGTTGTGCTACATTATCCTATTGGAAGAGTTGGCTTTACAAAAATTAGGCAGGGAAGAAGCACAAAGCTTAAAAATCATGACACAAAAAAATCAGCAATAACATATTTTTTATTTTTATTATTTTGAGACAGAGTCTCACTCGGTTGCCCGGGTTAGAGTGCCTTGGCGTCAGCCTAGCTCACAGCAACCTCAAACTCCTGGGCTCAAGTGATCCTTCTGCCTCAAAAAAAAAAAATCAGCAATGATCTAATATGTCCAGTTTGAATAATCATTCTAATCCATGAACCTAGTTTTGAAGGTAACCAACTAATGAGGTTGAAAAGTCCGGACCTATCTGGTGAGACTCTACCAAGCCAGGTGGCTTGTTTTTTTATCCTGTATAAATGTGCTTCTACTTCCCCAGTGGAATTTATCCATGGACAGTAAGTGGTATTAGCTATTGCACAAACACCACCTTGTTCACTAGTAAGTGATCTAGAGCAATTTCGTTGTCTAATACTCCTTCAGCAAGATCCAATCGGTAAGGATGGGTTTCTAATCACTGTTTACCTGACTAACTTCCATCCAAAGGAGGAAAGCTCTGAGACTGATGCCCACCCAGCTGGACTTATGCCTCTTGGTCCGGTATCTCTTTATTAATACTATGATTGTGTAAATTAATAGGTGTCCACCAATGTTTAGATTTTGCTAACTTAAACTGAATCCAGAAATACCCTAAACCGCATTGGCTTTTTATTTCCCACTTATGGAGGCACAATGCTGCCCACACATATGGTTATCAAATCCCCCACAAATGAAAATGTATCCTAGTGGGCCACGTCAGGAAATGCCACGTGGGGCACCTCGTATACTAATAGTTATTCGTATTAATAGCGAGGCGTTGACAGTACTTATTCAAGGTTCTGTTATTAAATTATGACATTGTTGTAATAATTCTAAGACTATCAACAGTGAAAGAATGATTAGGATTATAAATATCTTAAAAATTTGTCAAGTTCTGTTTTTCACCATTTTTAAATCTAATATTTTCTTTTTTTTCTTCTCTTTTCTTTTCTTTTTTTTTTTTTTTGAGACAGAGTCTCGCTTTGTTGCCCAGGCTAGAGTGAGTGCCATGGCGTCAGCCTAGCTCACAGCAACCTCAAACTCCTGGGCTCAAGCAATCCTCCTGCCTCAGCCTCCCGAGTAGCTGGGACTACAGGCATGCCCCACCATGCCTGGCTAATTTTTTTCTATATATATTAGTTGGCCAATTAATTTCTTTCTATATTTATAGTAGAGACGGGGTCTTACTCTTGCTCCGCCCGCCTCGGCCTCCCAGAGTGCTAGGATTATAGGCGTGAGCCACCGCGCCTGGCCTTTTCTTTTCTTTTTTTTTTTGAGTCTCACTCTGTTGCCCATGCTCGAGTGCCGTGGCATCAGCCTAGCTCACAGCAACCTTAAACTTCTGGGCTCAAGTGATCCTCCTGCCTCAGCCTACCCAGTAGCTGGGACAACAGGCGTGCACTACCATGCCCAGCTGATTTTTTCTATTTTTAGTACAGACGGGGTCTAGCTCTTGCTCAGGCTGCTCTCAAACTCATGACCTCAAGTGATCCTCCCATTTTGGCCTCCCAGAGTGCTAGGATTATAGGTGTGAGCCACCTTACCTGGCCGACAGAGAGAAGTCTTTGAAGAGAATTCTTACACAGGTGTCTTTTCCAGGCACCAAAGCCTCCATGCTGTAGACTGTAGTGCTTTAGGCCTTCCTCTCCCAGGATTGTGCTGAGGAAAGATTGTTCTGCCAGAAAAATCAAAGTATGATTTTTATCCAGTGCTTTAATAATGCCTTCACAATTTTGGAGTATGTGTCAGTTTTTCAATTGAGGGTCAAAAGCAGAGGGTGTCCGGGTGTGGTGGCTCACGCCTGTAATTCTAGCATTCTGGGAGGCTGAGGTGGGTGGATTGTTTGAGCTCAAGAGTTTGAGACCAGCTCTGAGCAAGAGTGAGATTTGTCTCTACTAAAAATAGAAACAAATTAGCTGGACAACTAAAAATATATAGAAAAATTAGCCAGCATACTGGCACATGCCTGTAGTCCCAGCTACTCGGGAGGCTGAGGCAGAAGGATCGCTTGAGCCCAGGAGTTTGAGGTTGCTGTGAGCTAGGCTGATGCCACGGCACTCACTCTAGCCTGGGCAACAAAGCAAGACTCTGTCTCGAAAAAAAAAAAAATAAAAGACAAAAGTTTATGGGCCCCCAAAGAGAATGGCCCTTAATAACACCAAAGGAAGCACTTTAGGCCAAGAAAGGTGTAGAGTTTCCATAGATTCTGCCAGCTGGGTTTTTATAATTCCATTGGCTTGTTCTACTGGGTCGGAAGATTAGGGGCAGAAGGCACAATGGAAATGCTGTCAAACTGGCCAAACTGAGCATGGCCCGTACAATGAGTTCCCTGATTATTACGTATTCATTATGCCTGGGAGGGTGGGCATAATTTTTCAGGGAACTTTGGCTGTGGCTGAAGCAGCGGCTTGTCTGCAGGGATAGACAAGAGAACAGACAGGAGAACAAGCAAACCACGTTCGGTCCGCGTGTATACCCAGGGGAAGAAGGGAGTAGAAGAAAATCCATTTGCCAAACCTCCAAAGGCCCATTAAGTCAGTTAAAATGTCCAGAATCTGTACATGAAGGTTTTCCTGGATTAAATTTAGGACAGGTGGCCCAGGCCAAATAGCCATGTGTTGCAGGTTTTTAAAGGCCATCCCACCAATATTGTTTTATAAAAGAAATTAATTTGTTAGTTGGCCAATGAGTCAAATGATGAATTTTTCATTGAATTTGAGAGAACTGGTTTGTTGGCAGGTCCTAACCACAGTTTTTTTTTTTTTTGTTTTTTTTTTAAGGGACAGGGTCTCGCTATGTTGCCCAGGCTGAATGCTAACTCCAGGGCTCCAGTGATCCTCCTGCCTCAGCCTCTCGAGTAGCTGGGATGATAGGCGTGCACCACCATGCCTGGTTACCCCAGTTCTTTTTTATCTTTGAACCAGCAGCCATCATCTTTCCAGTGTTGGTTTTCAGCTGCTGGTACCCAAATTTGGGCATCCTTGGTAATTATTTTCAGCTCACTTTCCAGAGGTTCTTTTGGTGGGGCCATAGCAGAGATTTGATTAAATGGACCTTTATTTATTTATTATTATTATTGAGGCACAGTCTTACTCTGTTGCCCTGGCTAGAGTGCCATGGCATCAGCCTCGCTCACAGCAACCTCAAACTCCTGGGCTCAAGTAATCCTGCTGCCTCAGCCTCTTGAGTTGCTGGTACTACAGGCATGCGCCACCATGCCTGGCTAATTTTTTTTTTTTTCTACATATATTTTTAGTTGTCCAGCTAATTTCTCTCTATTTTTGGTAGAGACAGGGCCTCACTCTTGCTCAGGTTGGTCTGGAACTCCTGAGCTCAAGCAATCTACCCTCCTCGGCCTGCCGGGGTGCTAGGATTACGGGTGTGAGCCACTGCACTCGGCCCATGTCATTTTAAAAATATGATCCATTTGTAAACCATGATAGCTTAGCATTATCTCACAGAGTTTCTTATAAATCTTTTTGGGGAGTCAAAAGATAGTGTTGAACAGTCATGGGGGGTTCTTGTCAGAGGGACGAGGTGAGAGGGTAGCGGGTTTGAGATATGATTTGGAGAAACAGTTACATGGGGGCAGCTAGTAAGAGAGGCAGGAAGGATGCCTGGCAGAGACGCTGAGTGTGATGTGAATTCAGAACAATTTCAACCGTGTAGGGGAACGAAACGGTGAAGGGAGATCCCAGGACAGTTTCTTCAGTGGGTTTAATTACTAGGGTGGCATCCAGGTTAACCCTGGAGTCGCGGGATCCAGTGGCTGACTGTAACACCCAGTGGGGCGGTGCCAATCTCCATGTTACCGGGTTAGGATGCCCAAGGCATTTCCTTCCTGTTCAGGAACAAAAAGGAAGAAAGGAAGTTGATAATTGAGGTGTCTGTCCTAGGACAGGGGGATTCAAAAGCTCATCTTTTAATTTAATAAATGCAGTATCTTCACATTTGTCCCAGATCATGGGATCAGGTTTGGAGGTTTGAAGTAGGGAGAGAAGATTGGTACTCAGTGATGGCAGTATCCAGAGAGTCTGAGAGACCCTCAAAGTTGTTGTTTAGTTAGTTTTGGGTTTAAGAAATTGTTGGACATCTTGTATTTGTTCAGGGTCCAAATGTAGTCCTGCTTCAGAGATCAGATAAACTCAGATATTTAACTTGGATCTTAACTAGCTGTAGTTTTTCCTTAGAAACCTTATGTCCCTGGGTTGCTAGGGGTTGTAATAAATGCACGCTGTCTTCTTTGCAGCTGCCCGTGAGAGAACAAAGCAGGAAGTCATCTATAATACACAGTGTGGTAAGCCTGCGCCTTGGGAAAAGGCTGTACCTGCTAAATCCGCCTGCAGAATTTGGGAGCAGTAGGGAGGACTTTGAGTATAGCCTCCAGGCAGAACGGTATAGGTGTATTGTAGTTTTCCACAGATGAAGACAATTAAGTATTTTTTTTTAAATTTTTTTTCTTTTTCTTTTTCTTTTTTTTTTTTTGAGACAGAGTCTCACTCCTGCCCAGGCTAGAGTGCCATGGCATCAGCCTAACTCACAGCAACCTCAAACTCCTGGGCTCAACCAATCCTGCTGCCTCAGCCTTCTGAGTAGCTAGGACTACAGGCATGCGCCACCATGCCCGGCTAATTTTTTCTATATGTTTTTAGTTGGCCAATTAATTTCTTTCTATTTTTTAGTAGAGATGGGGGGGGGGTCTTGCTTTTGCTCAGGCTGGTCTCGAACTCCTGAGCTCAAATGATCTGCCCACCTCGGCCTCCCAGAGTGCTAGGATTACAGGTATGAGCCACCACACCTGGCTGACAATTAAGTATTGACTGTCTTGATTGACAGGGATGTTAAGGAAGGCACTACAGAGTTCGATCACAATGAAAAACTTATTATCAGGCTGGGCACGGTGGCTCACGCCTGTAATCCTAGCACTCTGGGAGACCGAGGCGGGCGGATTGCTCAAGGTCAGGAGTTCGAAACCAGCCTGAGCAAGAGCGAGACCTCATCTCTACTATAAATAGAGAGAAATTAATTGGCCAACTAATATATATATAGGAAAAAATTAGCTGGGCATGGTGGCGCATGCCTGTAGTCCCAGCTACTTGGGAGGCTGAGGCAGCAGGATTGCTTGAGCCCAGGAGTTTGAGGTTGCTGTGAGCTAGGCTGATGCCATGGCACTCACTCTAGCCTGGGCAACAAAGCGAGACTCTGCCTCAAAAAAAAAAAACAAAAACAAAAAAAACCGTGGGTGACTCCTGTGTGCAATCGTGTTCCCACACTGGTGACTTATGAGTGGATCTCAAACTTCAGCTTCTGGCTTGCTTGTTAAAACAGAGAGCTGGGCCTCCCCCCAGTGTTTCTGATTCTGTAGTTCCCGTGTGAGGCCTGGGAATTTGCATTCATTTTTATTCATATAAAGTTCCCAGGTGCTGCTGGCACTGCTGGCTAAGGATCATGCTTTTAGCATTTCTACTCAAAAGTGTGGGCCAGCATAGACATCACCTGTGGCTGCAGACATTCAGGCCCCGCCTCCAATCTACTGAATCAATCTCTACTTTAACAGAAACCCCAGGTGGCTCCTATGCACACGAAAGTTTGAGAAGGGCTGGTTTAGAGGATTACAGGTGAAAATGCACAGAAAAGTGCCAACAGGTGATAGTTGTTTGTCAGAGTAAAAAGAAGCACATCTGGAAAAATAGTTTAGGAGGTGTACTGATCTGTTGCTTTTTTTCCTTCCTGTCGTTCCCTTGCCCTATAGAGAAACTGGATCTCTTTAGGTTGCTAAAACATGGTCATTCCTACTTTTCATTTCCTTCTATTTGGGCTTACCCTTCCTTTTTTTTTTTTTTTTTTTTTTTTTTTGAGACAGAGTCTCGCTTTGTTGCCCAGGCTAGAGTGAGTGCCATGGCGTCAGCCTAGCTCACAGCAACCTCAAACTGCTGGGCTCTAGCAATCTTGCTGCCTCAGCCTCCCGAGTAGCTGGGACTACAGGCACGTGCCACCATGCCTGGCTAATTTTTTCTATATATATTAGTTGACCAATTAATTTATTTCTATTTATAGTAGAGACTGGGGGCGGGCGGGGGGGGTCTCGCTCTTGCTCAGAGCTGGTTTCGAACTCTTGAGCTTGAGCAATCTGCCCGCCTCGGGCTCCCAGAGTGTTAGGATTACAGGCGTGAGCCACCGTGCCTGGCCTCTTACCCTTCCTTAGAAGACCCTGTTGTGTATGTTCACAATATCAGGTTAATTTTTTTTTCCCTTTAAATTCCCATAAGCTCTTTATTTTCATTCGTATATAGTACTTAAATTTTACTTTAGAATTTGAATACAGTACTTAATTTATTTTTCCTACTAGAGATGGTATATTCTTCAAGGACAAATAGCTTGTTCATATTTGGCATTCCTTGCTGTGCCTAGCACAATATTTTACATGTTATTGGGGCTCAATAAGTATTGAAGAGTGCTTGTTTTATGGCAAGGATGGCAGAAAGCTAAGGAAAATGAGCTTCATTTCTGTCCATAGTGTATGTATGATCAAAAACTGAATATTATTAATATTTCACAAGTATTTGTTTTAATTAACTCCTCATTTCCACTTATTTTTGGACTGAATTTTTTATTGAAATTGTGGCATGGAAGAAATAAAACATTGATTGAGGGAGCGGCGGATTGCTCGGCGGT